CATAGTTTCCATTTAATGTGCAAATTAAAAGTAAAATATACACTGTGCATTGCGAATTAAATGTAAAATGTCATCAAATCACATTTTAAGGTAATTATCTTTTTTTTATAGAAAAATAGTCCGTGGAAACGTGATTGCTTACAGCATGCCAAATATAAGAAAGAGGAAGACAGACAGGGGGAGTCCCATTTCCTGTGCTGGAAAGGGTAATCATTAGGCTACTTAGAAATGTGAAATAAATAGTCACAATAACATCCTAGTGCGCATTTGATGTCAATTTAACATAAATATGACATCAAACATTGGTCAAAATGACGTGTCAAACAGTGTCTGAAGCAGTGTTAAAGTTAATGAGATAATTAAGTGATTAATTGAGTGATGATTGGTCTATTATTGATGAACACCTGATGTTAACAAGCAGAATCACTGAAGGAGAAAATCACAATTTTAAGTCACCATTTTGGTGATCAACGTTTGCTTTAGTTGGGCTCTTGACCCTAATGTTTTTAACTTTAGATTTTGTTTGGCTGCTGAAACTGAGTGGTGAACAGCCAGATGAACAAAAAGTAAAGGTGATCTGATGGTGTTGGTTATGTTTTGACATAATCATCAGAGGTCAAAATCTTGACATTAAATTGACCGACACTTTGACGTCAAAATGACTTTAATTTTTGACCTATTTCGTGATGTTATTTTGACATCAATGTTTGATGTCATATTGGTGTTAAATTGACGTCAAGGTGCCCGCTGGGATGACTGATAAATAATATTGTCCATTTTGAGTAGGCTATATGATTCATTCATTATGTAGCCTATATTTTAGACATGTGTTACAACCGTCCCTGTACACTGGGACGGTTGTAACAGTGGAGAGACTGTATTAAAATTAATTTTGCAACCTGTACATATTTCCTAAAACCACTTAAATACATTGTTTCAGCAGTTGACCGATTGAAGTTTATAATACAACAAATTGGTTATTCCAGTATAAATGGTTTTTGATGTATTGCTAAAAATTGCAAAAAGTGTTACAACTGTCCCTGGTCTCCCCCTATATGAAATCTAAATTTTAAAAAATGTGTTTTACTCTTAAACTGTGAGAAAATCAAAGCTATAAATCTACCAAGTGTGTGTTCCGCATGTGAGTCTGATCTGTCAGTAAAGGAGCGTTCAGTGAGAGTGTGTTCGGCTGCAGTTCCACACGCTTCCACTAGAGGAAACTCTCCATTCATTCACAATGCGCTCGTTCCTGACCGCGAGGAGCACAAGTGGGACTGCTTCTTTCGGGACCATTTAATCTGTTCGAATTGTTTGTGTGTTCACACAGAGGCGGAGCCAAAACCATTACCAAGTTTCGTACCATTCCGGTGAAGAAAAAAAATAACAAAAAACAAATGTAAGATTTTTCGGTCAAAAATGAGCGAAGACCGCCAGAGACCATCAGCTCACGGTCATCACTGCTGCTGTCCGCCGATTATGATCTGACTGTAATCCTACACACACGTGCTCATCCACCAGTTCAGTGTGTATATTGTCTTTATTGATCACATAATCTATTTTAACTCAATAAACACAGTCCCCCGGTCGAATCATGAGATGCGTGTGAATCTCTGAGCGAGGGCAGTGTGGATCCCGGGTCAGACGCTCAGGGTTTAATCAATACCTCAGTGTGTGCTATAGGAGCACTCGCGCTAATGAACTGCCCGTTTGATATATCTAGTGCTGAAACACACTCTGCTACAGCAGCAGATCTGAGATCAGTCGCTTCTCTTCCGTCGGCCTCACACATGCACTGTGAACGAGAAAACACATGCAAAACTTCCGTCGTGTGGCATTAACTCTGGTTATGATGTTATCCGGCCTTTAACATCGAGATCTGTGGTTTACTTCTTCTACCGTAACTTCGAGAACGTGTTCCCTGTCAGCTGGAATAAACATTTTGCAAATGTAAACTTTTGGCGTGGTAGATGATTGAAAATAAACACCGAAACTATTGATGAGTTTTGTCCAGTGAAAAGCAACGATAATGTCCCACTGAGAAGCAGCAGATCTCGGTTCTTCATGAGCTCCTCAGTTCACCGGACAGGAGAGTTTACAGTACTACTGTATAAATGACCACCAGCTCTCCGACTAACATGAAACTATAGAAGCTTCACTGTAAAAAATGATGCTGTGGTGAAAAACTGTTAAATGGTTATAACAAAAAGTTTCCGTATTACAGTAATACAGTGAATAACTGCAATAGCTGCAGTAACTGTAGCCTACATTTAATGTACATAAAAAATACTGTTAAATTTACAGTTTTTGTAAGTGCACATAAAAACAAGTCATTGTATAATTTACAGTGAAAAATGTAAATTGACAGTCCCAGAATTCCCTGCGTGACACTTCACATTTGATGTTTTTTGTTGAAATAACAACAGTTTTATGTTACATCTGATGTTGTTGAATTAATGTTTATTGCATTTTTTAAATGTCATCTGTGTTACCATGATAGTGTTTAGTGTGTGTGAATGACACTGTGCAGCTTCTGTACATTAGTATTAACTCACTAAATTTGTGGAAAAGCTGCTTGTGATGAGCTGTGATTGATCATGTGACTGTAAGTATAATCAACCCAGAAAACGTGAACAGTGAAACCCAGTAACTCTGTTCTGGTGAGGCTTTCTCTGCAAGCATGTCTAAAATAAGCTGATCAGATTTCGCTCCTTCTGGCGTATGAAGAGGATCTTATTATAATATTCCCGGCCCTTAATCTGCACGTTTACACACACCAGCGACATTGGGTTCGGCGAGCGCCAACAGAGACCAGTTCTAACGCACTGGAGAAGATCCAGCAAAGCCTGAAACTGTTCTGTGGTCGAGCACAGACGACACTGAACACTATTGACCAGAACAGCGCTGTCTTATAAACACCTCAGGAACTGTGGACACTTGTGGAAGAGTTCAACATGATGAGGAGATGATCAGTGTAACTCCACAACAACTACAGAAATGTCTCCGCTAACATTCAGAAACGTGTAAAAGTGAAGCTCTCCCTGAGTCTCTCCGTAAGGCTGCACTCGCTGCTGTTACTCCTGACTCTGGATCAGTGAGATCGGCCTGTGTTGTTATTGCCGGAGTCTCTGAAGCTCGTGTGAAGGCTCCGCCCTCTTCTGAACGGAGGCGGGGCTAAAGCTCATTTGCATTTAAAGGGACACACACAAAAACAGCGCGTTTTTACGCACACCCATAAAGGGGATACATTTGACAAGCTATAATAAATGATCTGGGGGGATTTTGACCTGAAATTTCACAGACACCTTATACTACATGTTGTGAAAAGGGGCGTAATATGTCACTTTTAAGGCTCTTATACGTTGTCAATGCAGCAGTTTCATCCACCCAGAAAACGAACCTCTCCTGCACGTCAGCATAACGTCAAACTCAACGTCAAATCCTCTGAGACTCGAGTCTCCTGTTCATTCAGTGCTGATCCTCAAAGCGATAAATCAGCCTGTGTGTGATTGGATGGAGCCGGAGACGACTGGACACGACAGAAGTGGTTTAAATCTCTCACACACACACCAAACCTCATGGGTGTCCTTAACCGGCTCTGATCACATGAGGAGATGTGCTGGGAGAACACGGGCTTCTGGCCGGAGCGAGGGAGATGAGGGATAGTGCAGGGATCTGAACACTGACAGAAGCGTCTTAAAGAGTTAACACACGTAACCTGAGAGTTATTCTTCCTAGTCTATAAAATGCTAAATATGAATCACTACACCCTCCAGATGCCCTAACACATATTTTTAAACCACTTACATTATAATTTGCGTAATGGACAGTTTATATTCTTCCACATGGCTTCTATTAGTAAAATTATTTTTGCCACTATTATGATTCATGGACCTCATTATAAGTTACTTTGCCTATGTCATATAACACTATAACAGCAATGCATTTTCACAAGTTTTATATATTTCACAGAGACTAATCATCATTATAACATCAGAAACATGTGCGCCGGACTCTTACAAACATCTGCACCTGAATCAGATTCAGGAAATCCTCTTACGGTCATTATAAATCAATCACAGCTCCATGACAAGTCATTAATGAATGATGATGATGTGATATTAATAACTACACCCTCCAGATGCCCCCATTTATCTGTAAATATTTTTAAATCACTTACATTATGATTTCCCAGACAGCAACACAGTGTGGTGTGCCAGATGTGGGCCGGATCTGGGCCGAACTACAGTATGCTGTGTGTGGGCATTAGGGATGTATTCTTCTATTCAGTTTTATAATATTGCAAGTAAAACTGGTATTTTTGCCACTAATATGACTTATGCACCTTATTACAAGTCACTTTGACACTAAACAGTCCATTTGTTCGCTGTGACACGTACTTTTGTTCTAACACTGCCACGATGTCCAGTTCAGAATATTACAAAGTGTTCCTGAACTCAGAATGTGAAGCGAGTGATGGAGAGAAGAGAAGAGGTGATGAAACGTCATCTGAGGAGGACAGGTGTGATGGATGGAGGTCAGAGGTCAGAGCCGTGACCTTTGACCCGCCCTGACCCCACACCTGCAGTAAAACACCAGCAGGATCAGGTTACGGTGTCACAAGTTTTAAAATGTTATGTTTATCCTTTACATTATTTTTTTTGTGTGCCAAAACAGTAGTTTTGAGATCTCTATTTGGACAATGCACCCCTTATAGCCTATTGCAGCTGGGGCATGTTGTCACAAAGGGTCACGTGCTCATTAACATTTGGTTAATTACGCTAGAAAATGTGTATTTTTGCAGCCGATATTTTTAAAGCATGACCCTTAAACGCAAAACTGACTTTAAAAAATAAAGCTAAAAACTGTGACAACTAGCCCCGGTGTCCTGAGCGGCGGAGACGCGCAGTGTGTGCGTGTGTGTGTGAGGCTGAAGCGGGAGAGAGTCTCTGGATGCCTCGCGCGAGACACACGCGCAGTCGGTCCCGTGGATCTTCATCTTCATCCTCTTTATCTTCATCAGTGTGTTGTGGACTTCTGCTCCTGGATCGCGATGTTTGAACGCGACGGAGGAGCCGCGACGCGTCTGGAGAACACGCGCTCGAGCATGACGCGCGCGCTGCCCGTTCTCCTGTGCGTGTTCACGCTCATCAGAAGTAAGTGAAACCGCGCATTAGTGCTTTACTTGAGTTACAGTGAAACGCGCTTGCTTTAGCTTTAGAAATGTCTTTTTCCTGATGTGTTGCTGTGTGTAGAATTGTGTGTCCGCGTGTTTGTCGCTTTACTGGGATGCCGAGATCATTCAAATGAATGTTCGCATGTGCTTTCTACTTAAAACACTCCGATTTCTGTTTGTTTGTTTGTTTGTTTGACTAAAACATTTAATAGACCTACAGCTGAACTATATTAAAGATATAAAATGTCAGTCAAATGTATTAAAGTCATTAAAATGATGTGCGCTCACTCTGGTGAGATGAAGACTCAGAGATGAAGAGTTTTAGAAGAATCTGTTTTTATTCTACACGGTCGCTCCCATATTGAGTCGAATATGTTCGATATATATGGTTCGATATATATGGAATATGGTCGATCCCATATTATACTTTATAAGTATAAATATAAAACCTAATGATAGACACAAAGTCCAGTGTTATAAAAATGTTATTTTTGACAGTTTTTAAAATATTTTAAACGGTGTAGGATTTTGCACTGCTTGCATGGCCCTGATCATAAATAAATATCAGCCGTATATCGAGTGAAACACTTCAGAACACATGTGGGCGGGGCTTGACTGTGTCTGTGGGGAACTGATTGGATGGTTGTGGTTTGCTATTGGCTGATCTGATGTGAGTGACAGGTTAAAGCCCCGCCCTCGTCATCAGAGAAGAGAAGAGATGCTGCTGTTATTCTGATTCAAGATTATTAACACAATAATGATGTGCACCCATAAATCATTTACAATAAACACCGCAATATTTCATAAAAAATGTGATTTCAGGGTGACTTTAAGATGCCAGTATGTTAAAGTGAAGTCACGGTTCAGGGCGACTGCACTGTAAACAATGTTATGTGATATTTAGGCTACTTTAAAAAAAAATTGGTAACACAATGAATTTAATATTTTTAGTGAAATTAGCTTTTTTAACATAAGTTGAATCTCAAAAGTATGTGATTTAGAGTGAATAGAAATTACCTGTTTATATTGACTTTGAGTTATACACGCATATTAACACTGCACTGGCATTAGCAAAGTTATTGCTCATTGAACGAAGCATCATGTTCCAGTGTTTTAATACATGCAGTTATTCACAATATAACCATAAGCTCTACTCTTCTGCACAATGGGAACAATCAAAACTTCAACGTAGCAGAAACTCTTCCAAATGTCCAAAATAACTCAACATTAAACATTAACAGTTTCCCTTTACTCAAAAACACATACAATAACACTTAATATTCTTAATATATACTTAATATTTATTCTCCTTTTCCAGCCATATGCAAAGCATGCTGGGAACTAACAAATGTGTCTCTAATTAAAACCGCATAATTAAACTAATTCTCTTAAAATAAATAGGTAGCATTTTTTCCTTAATTTTATCAGCTTAATCGGTTCCTCGAGCCTCAAAACTGCAAACCAAGCTACTTGGTTTTATTAGTGAAATGTTCTCAATATTTTCACTGAACCAACATTTTCATAATAAAATATACACAATATTTTTAATTATCACCTTAATTTTTTTTAATGAAAATTACAAGACCCATGATTGCATTTGTAAAGTGTGTGTGTGTGTGTGTGTGTGTGTGTGTGTGTGTGTGTGTGTGTGTGTGTGTGTGTGTGTGTGTGTGTGTTACTGAGCGGCGTGAGAAGTGTGTTTCATGTACAGCAACTGCTGTGTAAATCCCTGAAGTGTGATCACACACTGATGTTCAAACACACACACACACACACACACACACCGTTTATATGACTTTATATCTCTAAATATTGAATAAGATAAACATGGTAAAAAGAGTTGAGGATCTGGCATTTTGTATTCTTTTAGTTTGAGTTGTATAATAACTCTGCTTGGTAGTTGTGAAAAGTAAAACACACAAAATATGTGAGCATTATAGTGCTTTATCATGACTATGAGTTACAGCTAAAGTCAGCACGGGATCAAAATGTACAATTTATGTTTATTTTTTTTGTTTATTTTTTTAATGGAATATTGCAGTGTTTATTGTAAATGATTTATCGGTGCACATCATAATTGTGTTAATAATCTTGAATCAGAATAACAGCAGCATCTCTTCTCTTCTCTGATGACGAGGGCGGGGCAACCTGTCACTCACATGAGATCAGCCAATAGCAAACCACAACCATCCAATCAGTTCCTCACAGACACAATCAAGCCCCGCCCACATGTGTTCTAGTTCCAGAAGCGTAATTAGGGAGCCTGAAGGTTCGAGAAGGGTCTGGCTGCAGACTTGCACGCTCAGACACGAGCGCTTCCGCTGCAAGTGACGTCACTTGCAGTCGACACCTGCTCTCCGCTACCGGCTGTGGCGTCACTTGCAATCCCTTGTTCTCCGTGTTATTTCACAGAGTCGATTGATGCCAGATTTGAAGATAGCCAGCAAGTAGTGTTTGGATCAATCTAGTGCACTGCATGGTTCTGTTCATTTGCCCAAAGTAGTGTGTATGGAGGAACAAGACGTTGCGGAAGCCATTGAGAGATTAGAGAAGGCTGAGTTTCCACAGGACAGAATCGATGCTCTGGAACCCTTTTGCTTCATCTTTACTGTAATGAATGACATGCAAATGTTTCTTGAACATGTAGTCGATGTCATGAAATTAAAGGTAAACTGTCGAACTACACTAGAGCAAAGTGAATAATGTGCTAATGTGTTTTTATATATGTTGTATATTATCTATTTGTACCTTGTATTTGTCTGTTTTGCACATTAACTGTGTGTAATAACTGTAAATTGACATTTACAATAAAAAGAAAAAAAAATGCATCATCTTGATGTTTTTCATCTACAGACTGTTCCCACAAAGTTGGGATCATGAAATTGTCCAAAATGTCTTGAAAATAATTAAAAATAATTAAATATATTATAATAGTAAAAATAATTTCTTTCTTTCTCATAACTGAGTTTTGATTTCTAAGTGATCAATTTATGTACAAGTGTTTTCCCACATGATTATTGGCTGTAGGTCATCAGTAAATGTGGTAATTTGGTAATGTGGCATTTAAATGCCAGTGTTTCCCAGATGAAACACAAGAGCTGTTAGTTTTGAATGATGTGTGTAATGTAGAGAAATGTGTTTAGAGTTTTGCAAATAGTTTGTTTTTCAAATGCAAACTGAGTGCAAAGCATATAATGTCCTTGTATTTTTGCAGGCTTGGTCTAAAGATTGGGTACATGAGTGAATGGTTTCACTGAGTGAGCCTCAAATTCCATTTGTAGTGTTTTAGCAATTTGAAAAAAAAAACTGTCAACAAAATGACAAATGACACCTTAAGACGACCATAATGAGCGTGTCTACGCGTTCAAAAGAAACACGTAAAAATTGCCGCGGACAAACACTGCGTGTTGACGCGGTCAAATTTCACACGTTTCGTTTATCGCGTTCCGTAGAGAGCAGGCGTCGATTGCAAGTGACGTCACTTGCAGAGGAAGCGCTTGTGTCTGAGAGTGCAAGTGACGTCACTTGCAGCGGAAGCGCTCGTGTCTGAGCGTGCAAGTCCGAGAGTGCAAGTGACGTCACTTGTCTGCAGCCAGATGCTATTGGAAGGTTCTGGTTTCGCTGGTTCTGTCTCTTTAAACCAGTGTATCCCCTGTCTGTTCCTCTGGGTCTGCGGTTCATTTCTTCTGCTTTGAGTTTCATCAATCACATCACGAAGAGAGTGCTTACAGTGTGTGTTTCTAATGATTGCAGATCATTGCTCATTAATATTAATTAATCGTGATTAAAGCTTCCAGACTCAGCATTACACACACGTGTGTTTTATCCGCATTAACCGAGCGAGTTACACACACTCTCTTCAGTGATCCACGAGTGTAAAGCGCATCAGAAACTTCAGTGATCTCTAATAAATATTCATTTTATTAGAAGCTAATAAAAGCTGTTTGAGTTCCTGAGTCTGCAGAGCCAATCAGACGCTGCCAGAACACTGGCCTCAGCATTATTCATATGATTGTTATGGAAAGATGAAATTGTATATTTACAAAGAATCTGTTTGCACATGAGTTTTGAACTAGCCTACTAATGAATTGTTACAGTGATACACTGCAAGCATAAAACAAGATGAATTATTTTCATTTATTTTAGGGCTTTTTTGCTTTATTCAGAATGCAGACAATTTAGTATTATTATTATTAATAAAAAAAAAAAGTTATTCATGTCCATTATCCCAACTCACAGGCAACGTTCTGTCAAGGTCCTCTCAAAGTTATGAACAAACTTTCTTCCAGTAACATTAATATACATTGATTCATAATTATCTGGTCTTTAATAGCGTTCTCTAAACGTTTGCACAAAAACATTTATACATCGTTCATGCAACATTTTTTCTGAATAATTTTAGCTGGATGTTCGTCTAACGTTTTTTAAATGTTTTTTAAATGTTGCTACTTGTTTCAGAGAACATTCAAAAGTAGCGTTCCATAATGTTGGAAGAATGATAAAGTGGAATGTTTCCTTCATATTTTCTCTCATGTTCACATAACCAGAAAGAACATTTTCAAAGTTTTAGTGATGAATAATAAGCAGAAGTGGTTTATTCCTCCGTGTGTCGAGAGAGAGAGCATCATAACATGACATGATCCCACGATCAACATCTGGGGTTTCACACACACACACACACACACACACACACTCACACACACACACACACACACACACACACACACACACACACACACACACACACACACACACACACACACACACACACACACACACACACACACACACACACACACACACACACACACACACACACAGTGTCTTCAGAATCTTCTGGCATTGATGTGTGATGATGACGGTCGACTCGATGATTGTGTTATGCTCTTCATGTGTGTGTGTGTGTGTGTGTGTGTGTGTGTGTGAGGTTTGCCAGCTGATTCACTTCTGCCGACTCTGATCGAGTTTTTTTCATCTGCTTACACACATTTTCAAGACTTTGCCTCTTTTTTTCAGAACTTTACACACAAATCCAAGAATTGCACACAGAATGTAAAATGCCTCATAACTCTTGCTAAATGAAGCACTGCATTCAGAATATCACAAACATCTCAAAAGCAAACATTTGTCTTATGTTGCAAACACTTTTGCCATAATATTATATTTGTGTATATATCATGTACACACAGTTATTCAGAACGTAAAGCTCTTCTTGCAGAGCTCCTGTTTCTGTGAGATGTAAAGTGTCTGGCAGAGATGCTGGAGAGGTTCTGCTGACTCTGAACTCGGCGGGTAATAAACTATCGGCTGTTAAACCCTCCTCAAGCCGGCCTGATGCAGCGAGGTGTGTGTGTGTGTGTGTGTGTGTGTGTGTGTGTGCAGGTGGAGCGTGTGCAGACTCAGAGGAGCGTCTGATGAACTGGCTGCTGGGTAAAGATCGCTACAACAAGCTGATCCGGCCGGCGCTGAACCGCAGCGAGCGAGTGACGGTGGTCCTGCAGGTTTCCCTGGCGCAGCTCATCAGTGTGGTGAACTAAACACTCCTCACGCAACACTCCTCACGCAACACTCCTCACGCAACACTCCTCACGCAACACTCCTCACGCAACACTCCTCACCCAACACTCCTCACGCAACACTCCTCACGCAACACTCCTCCTCACGCAACACTCCTCACGCAACACTCCTCACCCAACACTCCTCCTCACGCAACACTCCTCACGCAACACTCCTCACGCAACACTCCTCACCCAACACTCCTCCTCACGCAACACTCCTCACGCAACACTCCTCACGCAACACTCCTCACGCAACACTCCTCACCCAACACTCCTCACGCAACACTCCTCACCCAACACTCCTCACGCAACACTCCTCACGCAACACTCCTCGCGCAACACTCCTCACGCAACACTCCTCCTCACCCAACACTCCTCCTCACGCAACACTCCTCCTCACCCAACACTCCTCCTCACGCAACACTCCTCTGGCAACACTCCTCCTCACGCAACACTCCTCACGCAACACTCCTCCTCACGCAACACTCCTCACGCAACACTCCTCACGCAACACTCCTCACGCAACACTCCTCCTCACGCAACACTCCTCCTCACACAACACTCCTCACGCAACACTCCTCCTCACGCAACACTCCTCACGCAACACTCCTCACCCAACACTCCTCACGCAACACTCCTCCTCATGCAACACTCCTCACGCAACACTCCTCCTCACGCAACACTCCTCACGCAACACTCCTCCTCACGCAACACTCCTCACGCAACACTCCTCACCCAACACTCCTCACGCAACACTCCTCCTCACGCAACACTCCTCACGCAACACTCCTCACGCAACACTCCTCACGCAACACTCCTCACGCAACACTCTTCACGCAACACTCCTCCTCACGCAACACTCCTCACGCAACACTCCTCCTCACGCAACACTCCTCACCCAACACTCCTCACGCAACACTCCTCCTCATGCAACACTCCTCACGCAATACTCCTCACGCAATACTCCTCACGCAACACTCCTCACGCAACACTCCTCGCGCAACACTCCTCACGCAACACTCCTCCTCATGCAACACTCCTCCTCACCCAACACTCCTCCTCACCCAACACTCCTCCTCACGCAACACTCCTCGCGCAACACTCCTCCTCACGCAACACTCCTCACGCAACACTCCTCACGGAACACTCCTCCTCACGCAACACTCCTCCTCACGCAACACTCCTCCTCATGCAACACTCCTCCTCACGCAACACTCCTCCTCACGCAACACTCCTCACGCAACACTCCTCCTCATGCAACACTCCTCACGCAATACTCCTCACGCAATACTCCTCACGCAACAGTCCTCACGCAACACTCCTCACGCAACACTCCTCACGCAACACTCCTCCTCACGCAACACTCCTCACGCAACACTCCTCCTCACGCAACACTCCTCCTCACCCAACACTCCTCCTCACGCAACACTCCTCACGCAACACTCCTCCTCAAGCAACACTCCTCCTCACGCAACACTCCTCCTCACGCAACACTCCTCACGCAACACTCCTCCTCACGCAACACTCCTCCTCACGCAACACTCCTCCTCACGCAACACTCATCACGCAACACTCCTCCTCACGCAACACTCCTCACGCAACACTCCTCACGCAACACTCCTCACGCAACACTCCTCACACAACACTCCTCACCCAACACTCCTCCTCACGCAACACTCCTCACGCAACACTCCTCACGCAACACTCCTCACACAACACTCCTCACCCAACACTCCTCCTCACCCAACACTCCTCCTCACCCAACACTCCTCACCCAACACTCCTCACGCAACACTCCTCACGCAACACTCCTCACGCAACACTCCTCCTCACGCAACACTCCTCCTCACGCAACACTCCTCACGCAACACTCCTTCTAAAGCAAACACTCCTCACGCAACACTCCTCACACAACACTCCTCACGCAACACTCCTCCTCACGCAACACTCCTCAGGCAATACTCCTCCTCACGCAACACTCCTCACGCAACACTCCTCCTCACGCAACACTCCTCCTCACGCAACACTCCTCACGCAATACTCCTCACGCAACAGTCCTCCTCACGCAACACTCCTCCTCACGCAACACTCCTCACGCAACACTCCTCACGCAACACTCCTCCTCACGCAACACTCCTCACGCAACACTCCTCACGCAACAGTCCTCCTCACGCAACACTCCTCCTCACGCAACACTCCTCACGCAACACTCCTCACGCAACACTCCTCACGCAACACTCCTCACGCAACACTCCTCACGCAATACTCCTCACGCAACACTCCTCACGCAACACTCCTCACACAACACTCCTCCTCACGCAACACTCCTCCTCACACAACACTCCTCCTCACACAACACTCCTCACGCAATACTCCTCCTCACGCAACACTCCTCCTCACGCAACACTCCTCACACAACACTCCTCACGCAACACTCCTCACACAACACTCCTCCTCACGCAACACTCCTCCTCACACAACACTCCTCCTCACACAACACTCCTCACGCAATACTCCTCCTCACGCAACACTCCTCACGCAACACTCGTCCTCACGCAACACTCCTCCTCACGCAACACTCCTCACGCAATACTCCTCACGCAACACTCCTCCTCACGCAACACTCCTCACGCAACACTCCTCACGCAACACTCCTCCTCACGCAATACTCCTCCTCACGCAACACTCCTCCTCACGCAACACTTCTTCTCACGCAACACTCCTCACGCAACACTCCTCCTCACGCAACACTCCTCACGCAATACTCCTCACGCAACACTCCTCCTCACGCAACACTCCTCCTCACGCAACACTCCTCACGCAACACTCCTCCTCACGCAACACTCCTCACGCAACACTCCTCCTCACGCAACACTCCTCACGCAATACTCCTCACGCAACACTCCTCCTCACGCAACACTCCTCCTCACGTAACACTCCTCCTCACGCAACACTCCTCACGCAATACTCCTCACGCAACACTCCTAACGCAGCACTCCTCCTCACACAACACTCCTCACGCAATACTCCTCACGCAACACTCCTCCTCACGCAACACTCCTCCTCACGCAACACTCCTCACGCAATACTCCTCACGCAACACTCCTCACGCAACACTCCTCCTCACGCAACACTCCTCACGCAACACTCCTCCTCACGCAATACTCCTCCTCACGCAACACTCCTCCTCACGCAACACTCCTCCTCACGCAACACTCCTCCTCACGCAACACTCCTCCTCACGCAACACTCCTCCTCACGCAACACTCCTCACGCAACACTCCTCACGCAACATTCCTCCTCACGCAACACTCCTCCTCACGCAACACCCCTCACGCAACACTCCTCCTCACGCAACACTCCTCCTCACGCAACACTCCTCCTCACGCAACACTCCTCACGCAACACTCCTCACGCAACACTCCTCCTCACGCAACACTCCTCCTCACGCAACACTCCTCCTCACGCAACACTCCTCCTCACGCAACACTCCTCACGCAACACTCCTCCTCACGCAACACCCCTCACGCAACACTCCTCCTCACGCAACACTCCTCCTCACGCAACACTCCTCCTCACGCAACACTCCTCACGCAACACTCCTCACGCAACACTCCTCCTCACGCAACACTCCTCCTCACGCAACACTCCTCACGCAACACTCCTCACGCAACACTCCTCACGCAACATTCCTCCTCACGCAACACTCCTCCTCACGCAACACCCCTCACGCAACACTCCTCCTCACGCAACACTCCTCAGGCAACACTCCTCACGCAACACGGGGATCGGGGATTTTTTTTAGTAATTTTGTTGTGTTTATTAGTTTTGTTATTAACATGTCTTTATAGTTTTTATTAATAGTTATTCATTAGTTTTAGTATTAGTTTTAGTTATTTGAGTATTTAACAGTGTTTTTTTAGAATAATTGTGATACAATTGTAGTTTTTATTAATATTTTTAATACATTTTTTATTTTAATATTCTCTAAAATACAAAATTTAACTATTTGTATTTCAGAACATCAGGTCATCAGAACATCAGGTTATAATAAATTAATTAATTATGATAAATTAAGTTTAAGTTTTTATATTTTATTTCAAGGAACAGTTAAGCTGAACAAAAATGAGAAATGTTGCCTTGGAATGTGATGGAAAAAAATAATTAAAATCTGAAATGAGTCCTAGTGTTTTCCATCTATAATCTAAATTCAGTTTTCACAACACATTAGTTGCAATCCAGGTTCAAATGTACGGTAATGATTTTGATGATATGATGATTATGTCTAAGCTGTCACTTATACAATTATTTCAAAAGTCATCTTTATTATTTCTTTGCCCTCAGAATGAAAGAGAGCAGATCATGACGACGAACGTCTGGCTCACTCAGGTCAGTGTCAGTCACATGTCAATCAAACTCAGGTCAGTGTCAGTCACATGTCAATCAAACTCAGGTCAGTGCCAGTCACATGTCAATCAAACTCAGGTCAGTGTCAGTCACATGTCAATCAGACTCAGGTCAGTGTCAGTCACATGTCAATCAAACTCATGTCAGTGTCAGTCACATGTCAATCAGACTCAGGTCAGTGTCAGTCACATGTCAATCAAACTCATGTCAGTGTCAGTCACATGTCAATCAAACTCAGGTCAGTGCCAGTCACATGTCAATCAAACTCAGGTCAGTGTCAGTCACATGTCAATCAAACTCATGTCAGTGTCAGTCACATGTCAATCAGACTCAGGTCAGTGTCAGTCACATGTCAATCAAACTCATGTCAGTGTCAGTCACATGTCAATCAAACTCAGGTCAGTGCCAGTCACATGTCAATCAAACTCAGGTCAGTGTCAGTCACATGTCAATCAGACTCAGGTCAGTGTCAGTCACATGTCAATCAAACTCATGTCAGTGTCAGTCACATGTCAATCAGACTCAGGTCAGTGTCAGTCACATGTCAATCAAACTCATGTCAGTGTCAGTCACATGTCAATCAAACTCATGTCAGTGCCAGTCACATGTCAATCAAACTCAGGTCAGTGCCAGTCACATGTCAATCAAACTCAGGTCAGTGTCAGTCACATGTCAATCAAACTCAGGTCAGTGTCAGTCACATGTCAATCAAACTCAGGTCAGTGTCAGTCACATGTCAATCAAACTCGTCAGTGTCAGTCACATGTCAATCAAACTCAGGTCAGTGTCAGTCACATGTCAATCAAACTCAGGTCAGTGTCAGTCACATGTCAATCAAACTCAGGTCAGTGTCAGTCACATGTCAATCAAACTCAGGTCAGTGTCAGTCACATGTCAATCAGACTCAGGTCAGTGCCAGTCACATGTCAATCAAACTCAGGTCAGTGTCAGTCACATGTCAATCAAACTCAGGTCAGTGTCAGTCACATGTCAATCAAACTCAGGTCAGTGTCAGTCACATGTCAATCAAACTCAGGTCAGTGCCAGTCACATGTCAATCAAACTCAGGTCAGTGTCAGTCACTCCTCAGCTACAGCCTGGTGAACTCGTGTCCTTCAGCTGGTCCGGGATCTGTCCTCTGTGTTCACTCACGTCCGCTCGCCAGACTCTATAACCGGCTGTGTAATTATGGCTAGTCTGAGCGAGGGAAAGCTCATATATGAAATAATAAGACTGATTATCACTGTAATCTGCAGAACTGGAATGATTATCGTCTGTCGTGGGACCCGGCTGAGTACGAGGGAATCGACAAGCTCCGGATCCCGTCCAGACACATCTGGCTCCCGGATATAGTCCTGTACAACAAGTGAGTGAAGACCTGAAGCTTATTGATTAGATCCTTACTGTCACTTTAGATCCGTCTATTGCATCCTTGCTAAATAAAATTATTATTAGGTGTTCAAGCACGAAGTGCTGAAAACCTATTGTAATTGTAAGGATTTTTATTATTATTATTATTCCGCCCTAAAACGCATCGTGCAGACCAAACCGTAAGAGCTAGAGACTTGATATTTGGGATTAAGGTAGCACAGAAATCGAGGAGAGGTTGAGAGAGTATGAGCCCGATTGGCCCATAGGTGGCGCTATAGCAACAAAAACGCGAAAGTGATCATAACTCCTAGACCCTATGTCGTAGACTCAAGTGTCGTATATCATTGGAAAGCTGGACTCTTGACTTAAAAAACGTATATCTCCGATTTCATTTCCGGTATGCAAATTTTTCCGCTATTTCCGGTTTTGTCCAAAACCTACTTTTACGAACTAGTCCCTGGTTTTTCGCCCGATCGGAACCAAACCAGTGCAGAAATGTTCTCTGGAGTCTGAATATCAATAATTATCAAAAAAAAGTTGAAATTTCGATTTCCGGTTGCTAGGGGGCGCAAAATGAACGTTGTGGGAGGAGCCTATTTTACTAAAACGTCTATAACTCAAGAAGTAAATGAGATATCTTCACCAAACTTGACACACTTGTGTATGAGGACAGTTTGGGGTCACAGTAAAAAAAACGCGTCGATCTAACACTAGGTGGCGCTATAACATTAAAAAAACATAAAAGGGGGTGTGGCCACCTGACCGTTTGTCCGATTGACTTGAAAATTGGTATGCAGTGTCTTGGTCCAAGGTGCCATGTATGTGTAAAAGGATATTGGCGTATCTCAAAAAACATGGCCGCCATCGGCCAATGAAGTTTGAGCACCTGTGAGACGAGGTTAACGGAGGCCAATCGGAACGAAACTCTATGGGCATGTTCGACTCATGGCCCAAGAGGTCTGTAAGAGTTTTGAAAGAAATCGGCCACTAGTTGGCGCTAACGAGTTTTACGGCTCTGTAATCACGTGGTGTTGCACACATCCCCACAATATGCATATCATTTGATAGATCTCCTCATGTTGAACAACTTTGCCTCTAGAACCATTGCTGTCAATCAAACCGTTCATTAAATATTCACGAATATGTTAAAAACCTACTTTTGCGAACTAGTCCCTGGTTTTTCGCCCGATTGGAACCAGACCAGTCTAGGACAATTCTCTGGACACTCTAGATCAATAATTATCGAAAAAAAGTTGAACTTTGCCCTTTGCTTCGCTATAACAGGGTCATTTATAAAAGGGGTGTGTCAAAACACACTCAAAAGCCTATAAATCATAAATAAAAACTCAGAACTTCACAAAAATTGATGAGCATATGTGTCATACCATGGTGAAGAAGCATGCAAAGTTTCATGGAGATCGGACAATAGGTGGCGCTATAACTGTTGAAAAGCTTTAAAACCATGTATTTCCTATGGTAAATTGCCTGTATTGGCTGTAAATGGTCTTTTCCATCTATGATCGTATAATTTTCATATCTTAATGTTTAAAACCAGTGCAGTACAATTATCTGGACTCTCTAGATCAATAATTATCAGAAAAGGTATAATTACTTCATTTGGATGGCTATAATAGAGTGTAAATCGGATGGCTATAACAGCTATAACAGCTTGGATGGCTATAACAGCCAATAAGTGGTATTTTACTGCCCCCTGCTGTCATTTCATCATACTACTCTCTAATATTTTTATATATAATTGATATTTAGACTTTATTAAATCATTATTTTAACATTTACAATCACATTTTGTCAAAATTCATCTATTGCTCTGTACTCTCTAGAACAATAATTATAGAAAAATGTATAACTTCTTCATTTGTATGACTATAATAGGGTCAATTCAATATGTAACCTTGACCGAAAGGCAATATCTTTTCAATAAATGCTCATAGCTTCTTAAAAAAAGGTCAAGAACAGCTATAACTGCTTGAAAAAAGGCTAACAGCCAATAAGTGGTATTTTACTGCCCCCTGCTGTTTAAAAAAAGTCATTTTGTCACACTACTCAACTATAATTAATATTTAGACTTTATAAATTCATTATTTTAACATTTACAATAACATTTAGTCAAAAATCGTCTATTGAAGTGACAATTGAGTCACATTGGCTCCTGAAGTTCCAAATGTCTCTATCTACATCAGAATGAGCGTGTGTAGATTAAATTATATGAAAACATGGCCTATTGTATAAGTAGGCTGTAATAGCACTGTTGTCCACTAGATGAAGCAGCAGCATTAGATATTTTTAATCTTTTTTTATATGATTTTCACAATAACATATCCCAAAAATGTGTGTGTGTGTGTGTGTGTGTGTGTGTGTAAGCAGGCATTATGGAGTTAACATGAAAAAAATGGTTTGCTTCAGTGGAGAATACTGGAGAAACAAAGTAGTTTAAAATGAAAGTGAGCCAATAAGTGGTCTTCTACTGCCCTCTGCTGGCCACTCTTCTTATTAATAGTCTTTTTTTGTATATAGACACTATAAAATCACTTATATAACAATTACTATTATAACACATTCTTATTTTGTCAGCGTTTATCACTTCAATTGTTCTTATGCTTCACATAATTGCTATCAACATGGTAAATCATGGTAAATAACGCCAGAAACATGGTAAATCATAGTAAAAAAGGTAAATCATGTTAGAATCCTGGTAAATTATTCTAGAATGTGCTATATCATGGTAAATCATCCTATAACATGGTATATCAAGGTAAACTATGGAAAAATCATGTTAGATTCATGGTAAATCATACTGGAACATGGTAAATCATGAAAAATCACACTGAAATGTAGTATATCATGGTAAATCATGCTTGCTACATAAAACTTAATGTATTTTGATGCTTTTGTGCTTAACGGCCTGAAAGGCCTTAACTGCTTGAACACCGCTAAAATGCTGCTTGCAGCTTTAATTATTATTATTATTAATAAAATCCCCAAACTTTTGAATGGTAGTGTATGATGGTTTCCCCAAAAATCTGATTGATAATAATCATAAATGTTTCTTGGGCATCAAATCATATTAGAGTGATTTCTGAAGGATCATGTGACACTGAAGACTGGAGTAATGATGCTGAAAATTCAGCTTTGATCACAGGAATAAATTACACTTATATACTATATATTCACATAGAGAACAGCTGATTACATTATAATAATTATTATATTATAATATAATAATGTGTGTATTTATATATACAAAATTATTATACACAGTACACACACACATAAATTATGTAAACACAAACTTTTATTTTGGATGCGATTAATCGCGATTACTTGTTGCGCAGCACTCATTTTAATATATGTAATAATATTGTAAGTAAAATGCCCGTTCAGTTGTAACACATCTGCTGTGTTGTGTGTGTTCCCCAGTGCTGACGGCACGTACGAGGTGACGGTCTTCACCAACGCAATCGTCCTGTTTAACGGCAGCATCGCATGGCTTCCCCCCGCCATATACAAGAGCGCCTGTAAGATCGAGGTCAAGCACTTTCCCTTCGACCAGCAGAACTGCACTCTGAAGTTCCGGTCCTGGACGTACGATCACACCGAGATCGACCTGGTCCTGAAGACCGCGGTGGCCAGTATGGACGACTTCACTCCCAGTGGAGAGTGGGATATTCTGGCTCTGCCGGGCCGGAGGACGGTCAGCGATCTGGACCCGACCTACGTGGACCTGACCTACGACTTCATCATCCGGCGCAAGCCTCTGTTCTACACGATCAACCTGATCATCCCCTGCGTGCTCATCACGTCGCTGGCCATCCTGGTGTTCTACCTTCCTTCAGACTGTGGAGAGAAGATGACGCTGTGCATCTCAGTTCTGCTGGCGCTCACCGTATTCCTCCTGCTGATCTCCAAGATCGTGCCGCCCACTTCACTGGACGTTCCTCTGATTGGGAAGTACCTGATGTTCACTATGGTGCTGGTCACGTTCTCCATCATCACGAGTGTGTGTGTGTTGAACGTGCACCATCGTTCCCCGAGCACACACAGCATGCCGGCGTGGGTCAAGCTGGTGTTCCTGGTCCGGCTCCCAGCGCTGCTCTTCATGCAGAGACCCCGAGGGACCGCGACTCGTGGGAGCCGGCGTCTGCCTGACCACACCCCGGTACAAACCAAAATATGCTAAATATACTTGCAGGCAGACTCATTCAGTATACTTCAAGATACGACGCCTATCACTGTGTTCATATATAAGCTCCTTCAGAATTATCCACAGCTATCGCGTTTCTCAGGAACTGATGACCTCCTCCTTCCCCAGCTCCACCTCTATACGTGCAGCCAGACTAATTCAGTTTACTTCAAGTGTGTTAATCAGGGTTTGAAATTAACACCCGCCAAATGCGGGTAACAATCAACAGTGGCGGGTAACGCTGTCAAATCACTAGGCAACTTATTATATTTACTCACTTTGCTGGGGAAGTTCGTGTAAGCCAAATCTGCGCAGATTTAGCACAAATACTCAATTCGTGAGTCATCATGATATATTAAACGCAGCGTATTGCGCAGAATCTGCTCATATCTGGCTTACTTGAACACACACGTCACTACGCAACAAATAACGGCGTGCTTATTCATTTGCATTGAAGCAATAGCGAAGATTAAAAAAATTTGGTTAACAGAAAAGACATTGTTATTTTACAAGCAATATACCATAAGTGTATTATATTTGAGTAAATATACATGGTCAGTAACTTTGTCTTCAATAACAAATGCACATTAATAAACAAATATTACTTAGCTATACTTCGTACAATATACTATTGTATACTATAATGTATTTTGAAATGATAATTTCCAACACACAGTTGTGTATATACAACAAAAATATACCTAAAATATGTTTTTTTTAAGTAAAGTGCAAATAAATACACTTTTTTTAAAATAAACAGAATTTTCACTTCAAGTATAAAATATATTTTTAGAAAATATACTAAAGTACAATTATTTTAAAGTGTTATTTTGAAAATCTGTAAAAGCATGATGCTAATATACTATTAATATATTTAAAGAGTAAAAATTTTTGTTAGTACATTTGCAATGTAGTCAAGTCACCTTCATTTATATAGCGCTTTTAACAATATAGATTGTTTCAAAGCAGCTTTACAGCGATAAAAGGAAATTTAAGTAACATAAATTGTTTTGGCTTTACAGCAGCTCTAGAATAAAGTTATTGTCCAGCTAAAGTAAGTTTTGAATGTACATACTTCCTGGTTCTGGTAAGAATTCGAGCGGCTGCGTTTTGGACCAGCTGTAGTTTGTTTATTAAGCGTGCAGGGCAACCACCCATTATAGCATTACAATAATCTAGTCTTGATGTCATGAACGCATGAACTAACTGTTCCGAATTTGTCATTAAAAGCATATGACGTCATTTAGATATATTTTCAAGATGGAAGAATGTGGTTTTATAGATACTAGAAACGTGACTTTCAAATTAAAGATTGGTATCAAACAGCACACCCATTTGCGACTCAATGTACTATTGAAAAAGGGAATTATTTCAAATACAATAAAGTATACTTTTGTTCCTCTAGGGCAGGTCTCTGTTGGGTCTCAGATACGCAGCTGCTGGTAAATCCGGCATGTCCTCGTCTGCGTCTGCGCTGCTGGCTTCGACTCTCTCGTCACCGGGACACTTTTACAACAAGGGCCCTCAAACGCACTACAGCTCCGGCTCTCGGAGAGGAGACCCGCGGGCCTGTGGACAACAGAACTGCTCACAGGACCTGAGGGGGAACAGGCCGGCTGCAGACTGGGGACAACAGAACTGCTCACAGGACCTGAGGGGGAACAGGCCGGCTGCAGACTGGGGACAACAGAACTGCTCACAGGACCTGAGGGGGAACAGGTCGGCTGCAGACTGGGGATCTGAGGTTCAGGAGGCTGTCGATGGCGTTCGCTACGTGGCCGATCACATGATGGGAAATGATGATGATCAAAGCGTGAGTGACTTTCTCTTCCCAGATACATTATTGTTTAAAGAAAGTCTCTTCTGCTCACCAGGCTGCATTTATTTGATCAAAAATGCTGTACATTTTTAAAAATATTATTAGAATGTAAAACAGCTGTTTTCTATGTGAATATATAAAGTAAATTATATAGAATTTATAGTAAATAGTAAATATATAGTCCAGTCTTCAGTGTCTAATATGATGATTTGATGCTCAAGAAACATTTATTATTATTATCGATGGTGAAAACTATGGAAGCTTGTTTCCGCCACAGAATGAAAAATAAAAAAGGTAATTGCAACTTTTTTCACACAATTGCGAGTTTACAGAATTGCGTGATATAAAGTCGCAATTGCGAGTTATAAAGTCAGAATTGCGTGATATAAAGTTGCAATTGTGTTATAAAGTCAAAAATGCGTGATATAAAGTCGCAATTGTGTGTTATAAAGTCAGAATTGCGTGATGTAAAGTCGCAATTGTTTGTTATAAAGTCAGAATTGCGTGATATAAAGTCGCAATTGCGAGTTATAAAGTCAGAATTGCGTGATGTAAAGTCGCAATTGTTTGTTATAAAGTCAGAATTGCGTGATGTAAAGTCGCAATTGTTTGTTATAAAGTCAGAATTGCGTGATATAAAGTCGCAATTGCGAGTTATAAAGTCAGAATTGCGTGATATAAAGTCGCAATTGTGTGTTATAAAGTCAGAATTGCGTGATGTAAAGTCGCAATTGTTTGTTATAAAGTCAGAATTGCGTGATATAAAGTCGCAATTGCGAGTTATAAAGTCAGAATTGCGTGATATAAAGTCGCAATTGTTATAAAGTCAGAATTGCGTGATATAAAGTCGCAATTGTGTGTTATAAAGTCAGAATTGCGTGATGTAAAGTCGCAATTGTTTGTTATAAAGTCAGAATTGCGTGATATAAAGTCGCAATTGCGAGTTATAAAGTCAGAATTGCGTGATATAAAGTCGCAATTGTGTGTTATAAAGTCAGAATTGCGTGATGTAAAGTCGCAATTGTGTGTTATAAAGTCAGAATTGCATGATGTAAAGTCGCAATTGTGTGTTATAAAGTAAAAAATGCGTGATATAAAGTCGCAATTGTTATAAAGTCAGAATTGCGTGATGTAAAGTCGCAATTGTGTGTTATAAAGTCAGAATTGCGTGATGTAAAGTCGCAATTGTTTGTTATAAAGTCAGAATTGCGTGATATAAAGTCGCAATTGCGAGTTATAAAGTCAGAATTGCGTGATATAAAGTCGCAATTGTGTGTTATAAAGTCAGAATTGCGTGATGTAAAGTCACAATTGTGTGTTATAAAGTCAGAATTGCGTGATGTAAAGTCGCAATTGTGTGTTATAAAGTCAAAAATGCGTGATATAAAGTCGTAATTGTTATAAAGTCAGAATTGCGTGATGTAAAGTCGCAATTGTGTTATAAAGTCAGAATTGTGTGATGTAAAGTCGCAATTGTGTGTTATAAAGTCAGAATTGCGTGATGTAAAGTCGCAATTGCGAGTTATAAAGTCAAAAATGCGTGATATAAAGTCGCAATTGTTATAAAGTCAGAATTGCGTGATGTAAAGTCGCAATTGTTTGTTATAAAGTCAGAATTGTGTGATGTAAAGTCGCAATTGTTTGTTATAAAGTCAGAATTGTGTGATGTAAAGTCGCAATTGTTTGTTATAAAGTCAGAATTGTGTGATGTAAAGTCGCAATTGTATGGTGGCCCAGTAGTGCACAACACAACGAAATTTAAAAAGCAAACATAAGTTCACAACACAACGAAATGAATCCACAACACAACGGAAATAAGCCACAACACAATGGAAAATGTACAACACAACGAAATAAAGCCGCAACACAACGGAAATGCTCCTCACCAGAGGGCTCTCGGAGCGCGATAAAGTTAGTTTTCCTTGCCACTGTTCTATAGAGTCAGCACTCAGTCAGCAGTCTAAAAAATATCAACACCACGATTAGTTTTAACAGTATAGCTAAACATTGTAACTACATTTATTAATTAAAAATCACCTACGTGCATTATAGCTGCATATTTACAATCTAATGCTTTGACGCGCTACCACAGCGTAACCCTAAGGGAACATCTGCCAATTCCTTCAAGTTGTTTAAACGTATCAGTTGTATTAATTAAAATTACTTTTAACATTCAAAAACATACATGTTCAAAATCCAAAGCTTGATTGTATTGGTAGTAGACTGACTTACTACAGCTGACTGTTTGTCCAATACCTCCCTTCATGTATATAGCCTACAGTAAACAAATATTGTTTTAGGAAATTTCTGTAAAAGTTTATTTTTCTTTTATCAGGTTTCAAAGGTTGTAGTTCCTATTAACCTTAAAACAGGTGAAATTGTGCCAATAGCTCCCTGCATGCACAGTACACAATTTGTTTTTTATAGAAACATTAGGCCTAATGTCCCAAAGCTTGTGTTAGGTTCCTAGTGACCTGACTGACTTATTACTGGTGAAATTGTGCCAATGCCTTCCTGTAATTCTGCAATTCACCAAATGTTTTTTATTTTTATTCATCAATTTATATTATAATAAATTATACGTTTTAACCACTTGGTGGAATTGCCAGCCGTTCCCTTAGGGATCATGCGCTGTGGTAGCGTGTCAAAGCATTCTCGAGTATAAATACGCTTGTGTAGGTGATTTTGAAGTATATTTTATGTCGATTTACAATGGTTACACACTGTTAAAACTAATCATGGTATTGATATATTAAGACTACTAACTCTATAACAATGGCAAAGAAAACTAACTTTATCGCGCTCCGAGAGCCCAGTGGTCGGGAGCATTTCCGTTGTGTTGCGGCTTTATTTCGTTGTGTTGTACATTTTCCGTTGTGTTGTGGCTTATTTCCGTTGTGTTGAACATTTTCCGTTGTGTTGTGGCTTAATTTCGTTGTGTTGTGAACTTATGTTTGCTTTTTAAATTTCGTTGTGTTGTGCACTACTGGGCCACCGTACAATTGTGTTATAAAGTCAAAAATTGCGTGATATAAAGTCGCAATTGTTTTAAAGTCAGAATTGCGTGATGTAAAGTCGCAATTGTTATAAAGTCAGAATTGCGTGATATAAAGTCGCAATTGTTATAAAGTCAGAATTGCGTGATGTAAAGTCGCAATTGTTATAAAGTCAGAATTGGGTGATATAAAGTCGCAGTTGTTATAAAGTCAGAATTGCGTGATATAAAGTCGCAATTGCGAGTTATAAAGTCAGAATTGGGTGATGTAAAGTCGCAATTGCGAGTTATAAAGTCAGAATTGGGTGATATAAAGTCGCAATTGTTATAAAGTCAGAATTGCGTGATATAAAGTCGCAATTGTTATAAAGTCAGAATTGCGTGATATAAAGTCGCAATTGTTATAAAGTCAGAATTGCGTGATGTAAAGTCGCAATTGTTATAAAGTCAGAATTGCGTGATATAAAGTCGCAATTGTTATAAAGTCAGAATTGCGTGATATAAAGTCGCAATTGTTATAAAGTCAGAATTGCGTGATGTAAAGTCGCAATTGTTATAAAGTCAGAATTGCGTTGTAATGATAGAAACTCGGAAGCAAGATGCAAGTAAAAACTCAGTATTTATTATAAAGCAATGATGAAGCAAGAAAGAGTCCAGTGGTAACAGGCTAGCGGCGCAGGGACTCCAATGGTCAGATGAATCCGGTGAGTGAGGTGACGGAGAGTGCTGAACAAACAAGACAAATCCAGATAACGACCACAGGAACACGAACAGGAACAACGAAGGCACGGGACTGGAACGCAGAGGGATCAACACAACCGGACATCACAAAACAACGATCTGACAATGGAGATGAGAAGTTGATGAGATATATACACAGGAATGGATAGACTGCAGCTGGTGATGAGGTAATGAGTGATTGCTGAACGAGCGCTGATGAGCGGCCACGCCCCTCTGATCAGCGCACACACATACAACAACAGAGACACGAGACAAGAAGACATATGATTTACCAACCGTGACAGTACCCCCTTCCCTAGGAACGCCTCCTGGCGTTCCCAGACTCCCTTACCTGCCGATTGTAATCATCGATAAGGGAGTGATCCAGGATGTCTCTAGCCGGTACCCAACTTCTCTCCTCCGGACCGTAACCTTCCCAGTCCACCAAGTACTGGAATCCGCGCCCCCTCTGCCTCGAGTCCAGAACACGATTGACCGAATAAGTGGGTTCCCCGTCTACGAGACGCGGCGGGGGGGGAACCAGGACTGGCGGATTAATGCGAGCAAAAAAAACGGGCTTAATTTTAGATACATGAAAGACGGGATGAATCCTCCTGTACACTGGAGGAAGATTCAGGCGGACTGTCACCGGAATAATGATTTTGGTGACAGAAAACGGGCCAATGAATTTAGGTGCGAGCTTATTTGAAACGGAGCGGAGAGGAATGTCCTTGGTAGAAAGCCACACTTTAGAACCGACGACGTACACGGGAGGCCTCCGCCGGTGGCGATCGGCTTTGGCCTTGGTGCGCGCCCCCACTTGGAGTAGAGTCTCACGGGCTCTAGTCCAAGTGCGGTGACACCTCTGGACGAAGGCGTGGGCGGAGGGGACCGCGACTTCGGATTCCAGACTAGGAAAAAATAGGTGGCTGGTAACCTACGCTACACTCAAATGGTGATAGGCCCGTGGATGACACTGGCAATGTGTTGTGGGCGTACTCGACCATAGACAGTTGCTGACTCCAAGAGGAAGGATTCTTGGACACTAAACATCGCAACGTTCGCTCCAAATCCTGGTTGGCTCGCTCAGTTTGACCATTGCTCTGGGGATGGAACCCAGAGGACAGACTGACAGTTGCCCCCAGAAGTTTACAAAACTCTCGCCAAAATTTGGACACAAATTGGGGTCCCCTGTCAGAAACCACGTCTGTCGGGAGGCCATGAATCCGAAAGACGTGATCAACGACAATCAACGCTGTCTCCTTGGCTGAAGGTAATT